TTAGTAAGAGTCAGCCAATGTTCACCTCCACACTTTCTAAAAGTTGTTTTCAACACCTAGCTGTTTCCAATTCTTATCTTTTGGATAATATGAAGGACAAATCAAGGGAGTCAACAGGCACAATTGAAAAAAAAAATTCAGTTGCTATGCCACGTTTCGCCACAAGATGTCCTCAGCAGACCACAAAATCTTTTCCCAAACGCCAATTAGCTTTTTTTTTCCAATTAAAAAAAAACAGAGAAAAAGATATTTTCCAAAATTAATAGTTTAGGTAAATGATAAGTCTCTATAATAAGAAATTTTGGGACCCCAAGGTATACACAGAGCAAAAATCCAGTTATCTAGTTGTTAAAGTTAGTTATTCTTTTCTTTTCTTTCCAAAGCTTAAATTCCCAAATATGCAAGCGCTGCTGAACTGAGAGTGGGGAAAGAGTTTCAAGGAGCTTTCACAGGAAGGTAGTTAGGGTAAAGAGAGAGAAAAGGAAAGGTCTCACCCATATCTTCCACGGTGCTTCACTGAGCTTAGAAGTGCTTTTGGCTTTCAGCTGGTGCAGCTAGATTGTCAGCCATGTTGATGGCTGATCTTTCTTCCGTCAATCCAAAGGAGCTGCCTCAGCTCAAGCGGGAGGGCTGCTGCCCTTCCACACTCAGGTGAGGGTCCTCCTCAGCAGTGGTTGCCCCTCCAGGGCGACTTTCGACCCTTTCCAGGGTCTTTCGATGGAAAGAAACCAAAGGCGGGGGAGGGAACTCTCTCCATCGTCCGAAGGTGCTGCGATCCAGAACCGAAAGACCCATCAAATTTTATTCTTAACCTCAGTATAAGCAATCATCTTGCCTCACAGTTGCCGCAGGCACCAGGGGTGCTGGGACAGGTGGTAGGATAGCTGGCACCGGTCTTCTATCAGGAGCAGGATTGGGCCATTCCAGAAAAAGTTATTCCACTTTTTCTCTGTTGAGATCGAGTGCCTGATTAATCACTGCACCTTGGGCCTCCTTCTTGGATCACTTAGGATTGAGTTGCACTGCTTGTGGCATGACTTAGCTCCAGATCCATGGGTAAGGGTCACTCCTGGAGGGGGCTTCTTCAGCTTACTGACACCCATGGATCATCAGGGTCACTCTCTCAATGACTACTCTCTCCATCTGTTAGGGAGCTGGATGGAGGTGATGGTTTCCACACAGCTGTTTTTGGGTGTACACCCAGTTCAGCTGAGGTTCTCCAGCTTCTCCTTTGATTGGCCAGAGTTCAAATTCCTCCTCTGGGTCAAGACTCCTGTCTCTGCTCTCCGGTGTCACCGCGATGACTCCCACACTTTCCTATCTGGTTGTCCATTGTTTGAGATAGGCATGGTTTGCACAACTCCCATGGTAGATTTTTTTCTCCACGTGGATTGGTAATACAGTTCTGGCTTAATGTCAGACCTGCCTCAGCTTGGGGCCCTAAGTAAAAACAATCTTTAACACCATCAGATTGAGAAAGGTATAGTTTACTAGAAGCCAAGTGAAATACAGTAATACCAAACTGGAACTGAAATTCACCTGCCAAAATCTCAAATGTAACTTTCCCCTCCCAATGGTGCATGATCGTGGGGATTCACAGTACCATTTGTAAATACCACTATTTCAATGCTATGACAAGTTTGAATTTTAGTGAAGACCACCTGTACAGAATTCAGAGTGACTCTTTTAGAAAAGAAGAACTTCAATAATACTATTGAAAGAGAAACTGTTGAACCACACACCATAATCAAAAGGTTTCGGTCTATTTTTCAACAAATACAATGAGTTTTAACACATTACAATTGTTAATTGATAGGGTACTTGTAATCTGTCACCCCCCCCCCAGAGAAGGAAATATTAAAAGGGCAGGAAAAAATATATCTCCTTCAAGGATCTTATAGAGACAGAAAAGCATGCTCAGGTCTCCCTCCCCCAAGCAGAAGCCAGCCCTATACAAATCCAGATGTAAACCATCAGAAAGGAGATCAAGAAGACAAAGACTTAAAATCTGCATACCCCACCCAAACTCTAGGAGTCAATAGCCCCATCACCAGGGAAGCAAGATATGATAATAGGATTAAACTACAGATACCAAGGCCTAGAAAACACTCAGATTCAGTTCAAAGTTCATGCCACAGGAATAGGAAACTATTCCAAACAAAAGGCTAGAGAGGATATAAAAACCTATTGCACATATGATCAGCCCTTGATTTTTTCTCTCTTCTCTGCCAGAGCCATCTTCCTCTCCAATAAACTACAATCTTCTTCCCAAAGCAGTTGCCAAGTTTATTCCCAGCTTGGATGAACCAGGATGAAGACTTTTCTTCCACAGGATGAAGACTTTTCTTCCAACACTAGGAAAAGTTAGAATAGACAACATCATCACCAGATGGATCTGTAGCTGGCTAACAAACCGTACTCAACAAGTAGTCCTCAATGGCACTACATCCACATGGAGAGAAGTAAGCAGTGGGTTACCACAAGGTTCCGTCTTAGGCCCAGTACTCTTCAATATCTTCATCAATGACTTAGATAAGGGAATTGAAGGGGAACTCATCAAATTTGCAGATGACTCCAAACTGACAGGAGTAGCCAACACCCCAGAAGACAAACTTGAACAATGGGCCCTATCCAACAAAATGAGTTTCAATGTGGAGAAAAGTAAAGTCTTACATTTAAGCAGGAAAAACCAAAGTTACAAATACAGATTGGGCAAGACCTGGCTTTAAAACAGTAACTGTGAGAGGGACCTTGGAGTCCTAGTGGAAGATCACTTGACTATGAGCCAGCAGTGTGCAGCAGCAAACAAAAAAGCTAATACAATCCTGGGTTATATAAACAGAGGCACAGAATCAAGATCACGCAAAGTATTAGTACAGCTTTATAAAACCCTAGTAAGACCACACCTGAAATACTGCAGCCAATTTTGGTCACCATATCACAAAAAAGATGTTGAGAGTTTGGGGGGAAAAATCAGAGAAGAGTAACTAAGATGATTAAAGGCCTGGAGACTAAAACATTTGAAGAATGGCTACAGGACTTGGGTTTGGCTAGTCTAAAGAAAAGAAGAAATAGGGGAGACATGATAGCAGTGTTCCAGTATCTGAGGGGCTGCCACAAAGCAGAAGGGGCCAGATTGTTCACCAAAGCACCAGAGAAAAGGACGAGAAACAATGATGGAAATTGATCAAAAAGAGAAGCAACCTGGAATTAAGGAGAAACTTCCTGATAGTGAGGACAATCAACCAGTGGAACAGATTACCTCCAGAAATCATGGGTGCTCCATCACTGGAGATTTTCAAGAAGAGACAAGACATTCACCTTCTGAGATGGTTCTCCTGCTTGAGCAGGGGGCTGGACTAGAAGACCTCCAAGGTGCCTTCCAGCTCTATTCTATTCTATTCTATTCTATTCTATTCTATTCTATTCTATTCTATTCTATTTCTATTCTACTCTACTCTACTCTACTCTACTGTAATGAATGTAACTGAATTGATTTATGTTTTATGCTCCATTAATGGTGTTAAGATTTAATCAATCCCTCTTTTCATGTCACATAAACATTGCAATATGATAGCTACTTTAAGAGGTTGCTATATTTTTTTTAAAGAGGCATAGGTTGCCCTGGGATCTCTGGTTATGTATCATCATCAGTGAGAAGATTCTATATACATGAATAATGATTACTTTACAATGGGCAATAAATCTTCCTTTTATATATTTACATATAATATAAATACTGAAAAAATAAACCTCATGAGATCACATATATTCTTAATGAGTTAATTAAGAAATAAAATTATATGAACAATTATATTCTAGGCTAAACTTGGTTTACAGTATAGCATATTGAATTAATTACTATATCTGACTTCACCCATTGTGCTAAGCAAAAGTAAAGCAAGACATGTTGTACCAACTGTAACATATGAATCCACTCACTGAAAACATTAGAAGAATGGTGTAAAATAACTCCTAACATCATGGAGGCTACTTGGGAAGGAACATCAAGTTAGGGGGAAGAAAAGGTTTCAACTGCCAAACTGTAGTTAAGAATTCCATTATGTACTTACTATATGTACTTCCAAGTACTGCAAGTACTTTGCTCATATACTACATATGTAGGCTCAAATCTGGCCTCTTCCCCTTGTTTCTATTTAAACTAAGTACTTTGGAATATATATCATATAAATCAAAATAGATACAATCCTGTTTCCAGGGCTCTGGACAATCTGTGTTGGAAAGGTGAAGTTAGCTAATGATGCTTTCCCCAGTAAAGGAAATTCTACAATGCTGGGCATCCCCCCCCCCTTCTTAATTTTAGACGTTACATTCTTTGCAAACATTCATGCCTAAAGAAGGGTTGGAACAAAACAGAGCCGCTCCAACCGGTCAGACAGGTAAAAGGCTTGTTGACACCGTTATGTTTGCAGCACGCATGCTCCTTTCCAAGTTTCCTGGTGGTACCTTTACTCATACACCTTATGAAACTTGGGGGGTGGGGGTTGAGGGGACCTCCTTCCACTACGCCTCCGTTTTCTTGTTTTTTTTGATGGGGGGGGAGAAGCTTCGGAGAAGCAACGGAGTAGTTCTCCCGAGCGCAGGTAGATTAGAGACGCGTCTCACCTGCAGCATAAGCAAGGTGAGGTTCTAGTGCTCACCATGCCCCGCGTTTTCCTTGTGAAGAGAAGGATCCCGCTACCTGCCAGTCGTAGCTGGGACGAGCTCCCAGACGAAGAGCGAGCGGATAACTACGTCCCAGGTAAAGCGAGAAAAAAACGCTCCTTCTCACCCCAGTTCCTAGTTCCTCTTCTCAAATCTGTTCCCCATCTTCCCCGATCTTTATAATTATTTCACTGAAATAGCTAGGATTAGTATTTAAATTATCGAAAGCATATAATAATAAACAAAACAAACACTGGAAGCTTAGGTGGACTCGTATTCTGAATAAATTACTTGATATTAGTTATAGACAATAAGAAAAAGAGCTATATACTTACTATCAGCGATCCTGTTTGAATCGCTTCGCAATTTTAAAAATCAGAACACATTGCAAAACGAGTGTAAAACCTTGATGGAAAGAAACACGGCACAACATAATCCGGTGGATGATTTGCTGGTTTTTTAAGAGAGCATGATTAGGATCCAGCTGCTTTCCTAGAAACTACGGTAGTACAATAGTAGCATAGTGGCCTTTCATGATCACATAATTCCGCTGTAGTCTTTTTTGCTGTTCCTCTACGCTTCTCGAAAATCTGATGGGACTTGGGGCAAGAATTATTAAATAATTTTAATCGGTTCCCCAACATCTTTCAGGAGATCTGCAGACGTGTGACATAAACCAAACCCCACCCCGGGTCTTGAAAGTATAGACAATACACGTGGAAAAACGAAGGCCGCCTTGCAAGTGTTTCGCAAGCGAATTTGCAGTTTCCACCTCTTTAAGCGATCTCGTGCCTTTCCCAACTTACAGCGGGTGGGCGAATTCCAAGTAGTCCGGCACAAGCAATTTGAACTTTGCCCTCTTCTGACTGTTTTAAGTTCCGGATTGCAACCGTTAGTTAGCCGAGCGCCTCCCATTTCGAACGAGGTGACTTGTTCTGAAGAGCGCCAAATCAGGTTGGGTGAGGGATTGTTAGATTATCGCCTTTTTTGGTTGGTTTGGAGAATGAAAGTCCAGATTGTGTTCCCTTTGTGCTCAATTATATAGACTTAACAAAAGAAATATTAAACACTGGCAGGGAGTGCAGAGATTAATTCCTGCATTAAATTTTACTATTTAGCCTAATGCTCCCAAATCTCAGGACATTCTTACTGAATTAGAATTATACATCTCTCTTTCACTCACTCAGCTAATGAATTTGATTAATTGTGCTAATGTTTTATGATGAGTTCCCAGTGAGACAATCATGCTCTGACAACACTCCTGACTTCATCTTCCTCCTCCTCATCATCATAAGCAGCGGCCTATTTCTATTTTGCCTTTTTATACATAACTCAAGGTGATGTACACTCACCTAGCCTAGCTGGCTTTTATGCCAAAAGGAGGCCTAGAGCTCAAAGTCTAGTTTCTAGTCTAGCACCTTCCTCAGTACATAAAACTGGTGGTAGCCTGTTAAATTTAACTAGTGTTTTCTCCCTTATGTAGTATTGTTAAAAGACAACCTAAGGACAAATCCACAAGCTTCCTTGCTCTGTTTAAGAATGGCCCATTAACCATTTCCAGAGATCAAGCTGCTGCTGAGGCAGTCCAAGGATGGCTTCAAATACTCCACTTGGGAAGTGGCATTTAAAGTCTGCCAGTATTTATTTATTGGGAGACTATTTGTTGCACATATGATTAAAGATGTGCTTGGAAAAATATTAGGAGCTTTCTTTTATTTACTTGTTAGCCTCCATTCTCCATCTCACCTATTTCTCTGTCTTTGCATCTACTTCTCTCCAGGTTTCTAACAAGGTAGAAAAGAGTTAAGCAGAGTTCCACTTTTTCATTTGGGAATGAAGAGGGCAGAGATTTGGGGTTTTATTCCACTTTATTTGTCAGTTTTAATCATTTCCTCATAAAGTAAGAAATCTGTTAGTCTAGCAGTTATTCAGTTCAGTGCTGCCACTTACAAATAAATGTAATTATTAATATTAATAACATAATTATAAATAATTAAAAGGATAAGAATGAAAAGTTTGTTATATCATCAAATTGGTGGTAGCCCTATGAACAAGTGTCACAAGACCACAAGAAATAAGAACTCTGAGGCAATTGCTTTCCTCAGGCTTGGGTAGATGATCGGGGCTCAGGACCCCATAGATGAAAGAAATTTGAGTCTTGGTTTAATGTCATGGTTCCGATAAATGAGACCAGAAGAAATAAGAACTCTGAGGCAATTGCTTTCCTCAAAGAACACTTTTAATGGCTACATAATATCAGCATGAACAAAGGTGAAACCAAGATTGAAAGTTACCTCCCCAAAAGGTTACAAAGTAAAAGTTGAACTCCCCACCCATTGATGTGTCATAAATCACAATCCCCAATTAACACCTTTGGCAGGCTTCCTAACGGTAGCTCTAGCCCACCAAACACTTTAGCTGCTTGACCTTGGTTCCCACAAGAAAGTTATTGTTTTGACTAAACTAAAAGAATGCAGTCTCCCCCCTCCCATTTCTGTGGCAGCCGAAAAATGAAGAATCATGGTTGTATTCAGAGTGTTTGAAGATCCGACAGTCATCTCCCCTAAAGAGAGAAATCCTGTTGAAGAAAAGATTTAGAATCAGAAATCAACCCCTAGGCCAGTGATGGTGAACCTTTTAGAGACTGAGTGCCCAAAAACCGCCCTGCCCCCATCGCTTTGCCCAGCCCACTCCACCCCTATCCCCACCCTGCCCCACCTGCCGGGCCACCCACCGCCTCTGCTCAGGTGACCCTGCAGTGCCATGGTGGACACACCCTCTATCTGTGCCCGACAGCATCATCTGCGCATGATGGGGTGCAAGGGTGGAGTCTTGTCCCTACTGCCCAGCTGCCATGTGCTTGGCTGCACTGCTCCACACCCGGGGGTGACTCTCCTTCGGGGGGGCTGCTGATGAGGAGGGGGCCATGGGGGGAAGCAGGGTTGGGATGATGGCGCACGTGCCCACAGAGAGTGCTCTGAGTGCCATCTCTGGCACGTGTGCCATAGGTTTGCCACCACTGCCCTAGGCTTATTTGGCTGCTTATCATAAAATTTACATTTTAATCTATCAGCTTTTACATCAGTACTTTTCACCCAGGTGGCCTCTGATAGTGGGTAACCTTTCCATTGCACTAGATATTGCAACTTTCCCTTATACAACCTAGAGTCAATGATTCATTTTATTTCATAATGAGTCTCTCCCTCCACAACAAGAGAATCAGGTGCTTGCTTGGGAGGAGGTCTCAATGTGGATTCCCTATGTGGCTTCAATAGGCTGCAGTGGAACACAGGGTGAATTTTCCCTAGAAGGGGAGGAAGCTTTAACTCCATAGTCACTGGATTTATGATCTGCACAGTGGGGAAAGGTCCAAGGAATTTAGGTCCCAATGTTTTACTAGGCAATTTGAGTTTTAGATATTTTGTAGAGAGGTAAATCTTTCCCCCCACATGAAATTATCTCTGGGGTGCCCTCCTCTTACAATCCATCTCACCATATTTCCCCTACTTTTTGGTAATTCTACAATAAAGTCCATGGCTATCTCTTCGCAGGGCTGGGAAGGGTCTGTGACTTGCTGTAATAATCCAGGGGGTTTTCCTGGACATTTTTTCATGATTGCAGAAGTCGCACAGCTTTTACATAATTTTCAACATCCTTCTTCAGTCCCAGCCACCAAAACTGCTGCCAAATCAAATGTAAAGTTTTTAGAAAGCCAAAATAACCCTCTTGTTTGTTATCGTGGCTGCATTGGAGAGCCTGAACTCTTAAGAATCTCTGGTAGATACAGTTTTGATCCTTTCCAATCTAACCCATCCCAACAAGTCAGTGTGGTTTTATTTGCTAAGAACCAGGGATTTTTTTAAACTTCTCCTTTAGTCTTTTAGTAATCGGGTTGTCAGATTCAGTTAATTTCATCGGCGATTGGGCTCCTGTCTTTACCCGAGAAATCAACTCTGATTGCGGAATAACAGAGTTCACAATTTCTTCTTGCTGGCTTTTGTATTGGGGTAGTCTGGATAGGGCGTCTGCTAGGAAATGTTTTCCTTCTGAGATGTATTTTAACGTGAAGTTGAAACAGTTAAAGTACTGCGCCCATCTGACTTGCTTAGGGAATAATTTGCGAGGGGTTTTTAGTGCCTCTAGATCAGTGGTGACGAACCTATGGCACGCGTGCCAGAGGCGGCACTCGGAGCCCTCTCTGTGGGCATGTGTGCCGTCTCCCCAGCCCTGCCTCCCCTGTGGCCCCCTCCTCACCAGCAGCCTCCCTGGAGGAGAATCGCCCCTGGGTGCAGCCCACACGGAGCAGCGCAGCCAAGGACATAGCCAGGCAGCAGGGACACGACTCCACCCTCACACCCCATAGCGTGCAGATGATGCTGCGTGGTGTGTGGGCAGAGGGCGTGGCTGTCATGGTGCTGCAGGGTTACCTGGGTGATCTGCTGTGGGCCATGGAGGCGGTGCATGTCCCTGCAGGTGGGTTGGGCAGGGGGCAGGTGGGGGTGGAGCAGGCAGGGTGGGAGGCAGAGTGGGGGTGGGGGGCAGTTTTGGGGCACTCAGTCTCTAAAAGGTTCTCCATCACTGCTCTAGATTTTTGTGATCAGTCCATACTTTAAAAGGCAAAGTGCTCTCTTTAAGAAAATGATGCCAAGTAAGCAGAGCCCATCTCACAGCAAAAACCTCTTTCTCCCAAACTGCCCACCTTTGTTCGGTGTTTGTTAACTTTTTGGAGGTGTAAGCGCAGGGCTGTAAATCTCCACTCTCATTCTTTTGCAAAAGAACAGCCCCCACAGCTACATCACTGGCGTCGGCTTGAATGGTAAATTGTTTCTCAGGATTGGGATGTTTTGAGAATGGGTTCAGCTGCAAACAGTCTTTTTAAATTCTCAAAGCAGTTTGGCATTCTAAGGACCATGGGAATGGTTGGCAGGATCACTGCTTCCCACCATTCTTCCCTGTTTCTAACAGTTTGGTCAGTGGCAAGGCAATTTTGGCAAAAGAGGGGATGAATTCCTGGTAGAAATTAATGAACCCCAAGAAGCTCTGGAGTTGCTTTTGGGTTCATGGGGGCTGCCACTCTAGTACTGCTTTCACTTTAGCTGGGTCCATTTCAACGCCTTCACTGGAGATCCTGTATCCTAAGTAATCCAAGCACGTTTGATGGAATTCACATTTTGAGAGTTTTGCGTAAAGCACTAATTTAACATGCTCTTCCATGATCTCAGTGTAGATGAGGATGTCGTCAAGGTAAGCTAAAACCCCCTTATATAGGTGATTATGCAGTACTTGATTTATTAATTGCATGAATATTGCAAGAGCCCCTTGCAGGCCAAAAGGCACAACCTTGAATTGGAAGCTTCCTAAGGGGCTGTTAAAAGTGATTTTCCATTCATCTGCTTTCTTGATTCTTACTCGGTAATACGCCTCTCTTAGGTCTAATTTGGTAAAAAAAATTCCTTTTGCCAAATGGGCTAACATGTCCTTCATTAAGTGGAGGGAGTACGTATTCTCCACGCTAACACAATTTAACCTTTTATAATCAATGCACAATCTCACCAATCCATCTTTCTTTTCCTTAAACAGTACTGGAGTGGCTACTTGGGATTTTGCCAGTTGGATAAATCCCCGCTCTAAGTTCTTATCAATGTATGATCTTAGCTCCTTCAGTTCTCGAGGGGTCATTGAATACTTTTTTGATTTGGGTAATTTTGCTCCCAGTAGAATTTCAATAGCACAGTCTGTGGTTCGGTGGGGTGGCAGAATATCATATCCCGCTTCGCTAAATGCTTCTGCTAAATTCTGAATTTACTTGGGATGATAGGCTCTCCTGGCAGGGAACTAACAGCAGACTTCAGCATTTCCAAGTACTGCACCTGGCTTTCGACTGGGTTACTGATTGGGGTAGGAGGCGATGGTCCAATTGCTAACCTTAAAGTCCTAACTCCATTCTCCCACCAGATCATAGGGCGCCATTTATCAAGCCAGGCCATCCCCAGTATCACTGCCTCAGTCATTTTTGGGATCACCACAAAGTGGATTAACTCCCAATGCTCCCCTATTTCTAGAGGCACTAGTTCAGTGAAGTGAGTAGCCAGGGCTCTCCCTATGAGAGACCCATCAGCCTGCTCAAACCTCATGGGGAGGGGTAGCAATTTCACTCTAATGTGCAGTTTAAGTATGGTAAGGAGGTTGATTAGGCATCGGGTGCATCCTGAATCGACTAAAATGTTCAAGTCCAAATGAGCCCCTGATTTTGGCACCATTATTTTGGCGGGAAAAGAAAAAGGTGGAATAG